TGTGGCGAAACTTGGTACAGCAAGTGAATATTCTTGACAAAAAGACCTGCTCATAGCCCAGATCTGTCCTTGGTATTATCTAAAAGAGATTAAAAGCTGAGAGAAGAGCTGGGCAGTGAAATTGCTTTTTAGGACTGTGGAGGTGAATACTTACTGACTCTTGTCTAATAAAATAGCCTTCAGTAAAGGACCAGCTATAACCATGTCAGAAATGGAGGAGGACCAGCAACAAATTTCAGCTAATTATAAACTTATACTTGAAAAAATTCTTGAAGCTACTGAGATAATTAAATCTAGACTGAAAGACAAAGGCGCCAGCTTAAATCTACAAAGCAAAACTCTGATTGCAACTAAAGAACTTACAATCCAAAAAACAACTGAAGCAGAAAAAAATAGCACAAAGACAGAGGACTTTAAAGATCAACAAGTACAACATATTGAAATTTTAGACAACCAAACCCTGATTGCAACTAAAGAACCTACAACCCAAAAAACATCAGAAGCGGAAGAAAGTAATACCAAGACGGAGGGCGTTAAAGATCAACAAGTACAGCTTACTGAAAACTCGGACAATCAAACAACAACTACAAAATTGGATATGACTTTCTACTTAAACCAGACGAAACCTGAAGAAGAAGAAGAAGACCAGATCGAATTGAAGACAAATATATTTAGAGCAAATATGGGGATCTGAGCCACCAGGGCGACAACTTAATGATTATAAATGGGCCAGTTTCTTTAGAAAATTGACAATTAGATGGTCTCCTTTAATTCAAGTAACATGCACAAGAATGAAGGGAGATCTATCTGATGATCTAAAAGCATTGGTATGGAAGCCTGGTTGGCATAAAAAGAAAGCTAGAGTTAGATTTTAAAAATGGGGTCTTTTCATTTATTAGAGAGTATCCTAAAGTTTCAACTAATGGGCTAAAGGGAGATTTGGAGATGAAGGGAAATTTGATTATTAGATTTAAATATTGTTGGAAAATAATAAAAAACAAGGGATTAATTGGCTTAATATTGAGGATTTAGATTTATAAGGGAAATGAAAATTAACTATTAGGAAATAGCTTTGAATAATTGTTTAGCCCAGATAATGCAGATGATGGATTTGAGATAAAAAGGATACTCCATTATTGTGGTGATGTATTAGAATAAGAAATAGAAAATGTTTTATGAAATAAAATGAGAATATATTTACGGAAGTAATATGTGTATTTTATACTATAACTTTTATGTAGTGAAATAAAGAAGATTTGGGCTACCAGAAAATTAAATACTATGGATATTAAAAATTAAATTGGAATATTGCAAAAACTTAAAAGCAGGATATGGTTATGTATAAGCAAAAACATATTGATACATGTTTTAACTGAGTTTGATATAATTAGAATTTTACTAGCTTAAATCTGATATAGCAAATGTTAAGGGAAATAGAGAAGGAATTTTTGATGATGTAACCTGAGATATGTACTAAAGATTTTGTTATTGAACTATTGACTAACCCAATCACCATGTTGCTTTCCAAATACTAAATTGGAAAATTGGAAAACTAATAAAAAATTTGTTATAAGGATCTGCATACATTTATAGGTAATCCATGAAAGTATTACAGTTATAAGTAAGTTACAGTTCTTCTACATTGTAAAGCAAATTATCTCAAAATGTAAGTATGTCTTCTCCATATATTAAAAGGCTTTTGATAGCTTGATTTCTCATATTTTGCAGTTATAGTTAATTAGTTCAGAAAATCTGCCCCCAATATCTCTCAGCAAGGCCAAAATTAAATTTTAAAAGTAGTAATGAATTCTGTAAATTTAAATCATAGATCTCAAAACCAAGGTAAGTCTTGCTGCTTATATAATCATTTACAGCCCTTTGGTGTTCCAAAATTTGGATCAAGCAATATGAAACACAGATTTTCTTTTTAGAGTATTTGGGTTTCAAGGAGGTATGTTAACAAATTATAAACATAAGAAGGCATTGATGCTTGCATAATGTATATCCTGCTGTATAGCATCTGTTAGAAACTACTGGGAAAGAACATTTGGAAATTCAAAGTCTTTTACTTCCAATATGCTAACAGTTGCCACCCTGGGTGAAATAAGCTTTTTATCCCCCTTCAGCTGATGCATCATTTGTGACCCATTCTTCACAAGGGGGATCTGGCTACAGTGACTCACTACTTGGGCTTCTGCAATTTGTTCCTCATAGAGCTGCCTCTAAACACCTCTTGGTAACTGCAGGTCATCCAAAATGTAGCACCATGCATGCTGACAGGATTTGTCTGTTTGATCATTTTATATCTGTGCTGCAAGATCTGCACTGACTACCTGGGAGATTCCAAGTTCAAATCAGATACTGTCTATGGGATTGTCTGCTAGAACTTGAGTCAACCGGACCAAGGCAGATCTCCCAGGAAAGGCTACTGATTGTCTCCCATTTTTTTAATGAAGAAGTATTATGAAGCCAGAAAACTGTACTCTTCCAGAGGGCTTTTGGACCTGAATGTTCATATCTTTTACTTTACAAAGTCTAATTATCTAATTGTTTTGTTTGTTTAACTGATTTTCTTATTAAACTAGATTAATATGTTATATTACATTATTATGGATTGATTTTAGGTTTAATATTGGATGTTATATAATTTAGTATCTCATTTATTATTATAAGCCATTGGATTAGATGGTACATGAATAATAATTATTGCTTTATGATGGGCACATATTATTCAGTCAACGTTGTAGACATTTTTGATAGAACCATCACTGAAAACAGCAAAGTGAATTTAGCAGCTGGGAAATAAAACTGTCAAATTCTCTTGTGGATTAGCAATTAAGAACAAGAACCAGCAAGCAGAAATAATCTTTACAATGGAAAGAGATCAATAGTAGTGTCAGTGCGACGTATACCAAGTGTATTGGATATCTTAGGAAAGGGATGTTGGAATTGTGGGAGTGTACAAGCAATGCTGACATGGCTGCATTTCGACCTCATTGTAGAGTTGAGAAAAATAAAGAAGGGGACAACTAAAATGGTCATAATATTGTAATATTTTCCCAATAAAAAAAAGAATATATTAGGGCTATTACATTTAGGGGAAAAAGAAAAAGATACAGAGCAAATAGAGAAGTGAATTTTTTGACAGCAGATTAAGAAAAGATAAAAAGGCATAATACAAACCAGATCTGTTTTGTAGAATTATGTGGCTTTGAGAAATTTACGATATATAGAGCTGTCAGTATTAGCCAGGATAGTTAAATAGAACCTCTTGATACAGTGGTAGTATTTCTCCAGATCCCAGTTGCAAGAAGACAAATAGCAATTCATGCCCTGCTTCAGGCATCCCTGAAGCCCATTTTCAATATACAATTGGTCATGCTTTACCCAGACATTTCAGGATCCTTGATTTACATGTTCTTCTGTTGCTCATTTGACTGGCAGCATAAATCCTGGTGTGAGTATCTTTATCTTTTCCCTCTTTGGTGGGAAAAATCTGAAGACATTGTATGTGGGCATTTGGCTCTGGGAAACACAGAAGCTCTCTGAAGGAGCCTTATGACACAGAGGCTTCTCCATACGATTAAGCTAAATATGCACTTATGAATCCTTATTTCCTCTATCTAGAAAGGTTGGGAAAAGAGGGATAGTATACATTGCTCTGTGTTGCCTTTCCATGTTCAAGTATGTTGTTTGAATAGAGCTTTTATATAAAACACTGTTCTAGCCTAGGTAACTGAGACTTTGAAAATCCACTTTTCAAGGAAAGCACTCCATGTGAACACTTTTTATGGGATTTTTTTCACCTTTGCAAAAACTAGGGTGTGTTGCAAGATCTTCATTTAAAGACAGAACTATGTCCCTGCCTGAGGAATCAGTTGAGTAATCATGATAGGAACTATTTGCACCATTTACCTGAGTTATGTTTTTACATTCCAAAAGGTCCATAGCAAATGGTATTTGATATTCTGTCATAGTTATAGACTAGTTTTGAAAATGCATGAAACAGACTAGTTTGGCCTGTGTTTGAGGTTTTTTTTTTTTTTTACATAATTACTTCAAAGATTTTTTTTTATGCATTGGAAGAATAACTTGGCTTTCTTTCAATTGTATTCTGTAGCTAAAAGGTCTTGCATATTCTCCTCACACGCTGATAAGTTTGAAAAAGAAAACCTAGAAAATGTGACATAGCAGCTTGTGATATGATTTTCTACAAATGCCATCTTTAACATGCTGATCAAATGTGTGTAATGTCTATTTGTAATGTGGTGTCACCATTGCAAGAGCAATGCAGTATAGTTAGCTATTGCTTTGTATACATTTCAATAAAAGCCATGAGAGCTGGAGATTTCTGGGATTTGAAGTCCAGATATCTTAAAGTTGCCACAATTGAGAAACACTTCTAGTGTAATAATATGAGTGAGAAGCATGAGATCTTGTATTGCTGTACCTCTGCATCTGTCTCCCTTTGTTTAATCTGCCTTTTAAAGGAAGCGTAAAGGTGCATCCAGACTTTTCAGTAATTGCGGATTAATTCTTGAAATTTTGAACATGGTTTAATAAAAAAAAATCCTATGGATAAATTCAAATTCGGCATTCTCTTTCCTCCTCTCCCTCTCTCTCTTTCTCTCTTCCTCCTACCTGTTCAATTATTAGCTAGAGTTCATGTATTAAAAAATGGGTACATCCATTACATTGCCTGCCTTCTCATATAACACCATGTTTCTTTACAATTCTTAGATCTTTACCCTTTCAGAATTGATGTTTTATTTGGCACAGGAAATATTGATGATGTTATAGATGGATTCTGTAATAATTGCAGGTAATACAGGAGGAAGCAAATAATTACCGGAGGAAGTGAACTGACTTCCCAAGCCTTAGTGTATTACAGGATGAGCAACATGGAACAGTGTTCTGAGCACTAGAACAGCCTGCTGCTTGGCAATTAAGGGTAATTTGGTGCATAAAAGAATAAAAATCATTGCTTCTCACTTTTGCAGATCTTACTTACAGAAGAGTTTGTGGAAAGAATGCTGGAAAACCTAGAGGATCTGAGTTCTCCAGAAGAAGTAAGTTTACTTAATCCTAATATCTGAAAAGACACTCTTTACACAGGTAGTTTTCAACTTACAACAGTTCATTTAGTGACTGTTCGACGTTTCAACGGCACTGAAAAATGTGGCTTATGATCATTTTTCACACGACTGTTGCAGCATCCCCGTGATCATGTGATCAGAATTCAGATGCTTGGCAACCAACTCATATTTATGAAGTTGCAGTGTCCTGGGGTCACGTGATCACCTTTTGCCATCTTCTGACAAGCAAAGTCAATGGGGAAGCCAGATTTACTTAATAACCATGCTACTAATTTAACAGCTGCAGTGATTCACTGACCAATTGTGGCAAGAAAGGTCGTAAAATGGGACAAAACTCACTTAACAATAGAAATTTTGGGCTCAGTTGTGGTCGTACGTTGAGGACTACCTGCATATCTTGGCTTATGTATGTAACTTATGTAACTTATTGTATAAATCAGCATCAACATTTGGAATTCTTTGCTGGATGAACTTGAAGAATTAAGATGTTCCTTCAGTAGGGACCTTATGCTAAATTGAGATTTCTCCATGTACTTTTTTTTGCCATGTATGCTCCTTTCCCTGAGACATTTTCCCCCTTTTATGGTAATTTATAAATCTATAAATGTATTACTTAGAGCAGTGGTTCTCAACCTTTTTAATGCCGCGACCCCCAACTGGTCGTAAGTTGAGGACTAAACAACCAGTCGTAAGTCGAGGACTATCCAACTGGTCGTTTAAGTCGAGGACTTTCCCTGCCCGGGAGTGCCACGCATGCGTGGTGCTGCCCCCTGCGCCGGCCGAGACATAGCTGGCAAGTGGCAGAGACGGAGCAGGCTGACCACCAGCTGGGCCACCAGCTGGCCCAACCCAAGGGAGGTAAGGCACCCGCCGGGCCCCATGCGCACCAGCAACCCTCCCTGTGCCCGCTGGCCTCCCACCTCCCATCCCTGGCCCTCTTTTACTTACATTTTTAGTAGTTGTTCAGCAGGGAGTGGTGGAAGCTTCCAGACAGCTCGCCTTCGCTGCAGACAACTTGCTGCATCGTTTGCAGACTGGGACTTTTGGCGGGCTCAGCAGGGCAGAGACAGCCTGGACAATTCCTATTGGCTTTTGAAAGCCAATAGAATTAGACTCTATTCAAGAGAGTCTATTCTATTGGCTTTCAAAAGCCAATAGAATAAAAGGGAGTAGCACAGCTAAGGAAAAGGGGGGGAAAAAGGCGGACTGCGTTGTTTGGCGACCCCCGTGAAATGGTCATTCGACCCCAAATGGGGTCCCGACCCACAGGTTGAGAACCACTGACTTAGAGGCAGGTTTTATTGCAATAATATTTATATACTATGATTAAAAATTATGAACATTCTGTTATTTAGAAAACTTAAAAAGTGTTGAAATTGAAACATCCTGTTTTCCCTAAAAGGTCCAGTACTTTGCTCAGAGGAAAGTGCTTCAACTCCTTTTGTAGTTTTTGTTGTACATGTTTTTAGATTAATTGACCTTTAACTTAACAAACTTTCCCCATGAAACCATTTTTTTAATTTTTCCTGCTTTGTTAACTATTTTTCTATAAACTATCAATCATCATACAACTGCCCTCAAGGTTTTTTTTTTAATAAAAACAGTGAATAAATGTAAAAACATCATAGCCATCTTGTACTATACACTTATTGTAATGGGATTGGAGAGAGTATTTTTCCATGGTCTCCTTGCACAAATGTTTTCTTTGCCATCTCATTTGCTTCCTTCTTACTGTTGAGTTTCTGAGGATTCCTTATCTTCCAAAGCTGCATAACGTCTGTTAAAATTGAGTATCATGAAATCTAGTATGTATAGAATTCTTTATTGACCAAGTGTGATTGGACACACAAGGAATTTATGTCCAGTGCATAAGCTCTCAGTGTACATACAAAGTGATAAGTCATAGATCATATATAAACCCTGGTGAAAAAAATCCTCATTGGCTTGTTAATCTGATACCCTTTCATTTGCGCCTATATTATATAATGATATAAAATATCTTGAAAATTTGAAAAAAATATATTTTCTCACATGAAATATTTTTTATGCAGTTTTATCTATGGAGATTCTCAGTCATGGAGATTCTCAGTCAACCAGGTCATGGTTGTCCCAAAGATGCTTTTTCAAGAGGCAACTGAATTTTGTTTTCTTTGAAGACGTTTTGCTTCTCATCAACGAAGCTTCTTCAATTCTGACTGGCTGGTGGGAAATGGAAGGATTTATATTTCTTGCAGACAGCTGGTCATTTGCATTCTTTTAGAGAATCATTGAGGCCACTTGGAGGTTTATTTGTGTCCTTAGGGTCACCTGAGTAGTGCAAATGGGTGTGGAACCTTCTTGGAACTGCTGAAAGGACTGTGTTGTAGACTGGAGATAGATAATATTGTATCCCTCCCTGTTGAGAAAGGGTTGTTCAGTTTTGACATAGATGGCCTCTGACCCCCTCTTTCAAACCAGCGGTCCTCTCTGTCCAAAATGTGGATTTTGTTGTCTTCAAAAGAGTGGCCTTTGTCTTTTAAATGCAGATAGACTGCTGAATCTTGTCCTGATGGGTTTGTTTTATGTTGAGTCATGCATATTTCTCACTGCATTTGTGAGACATGTACATTGCAGATGTACATTGGGGAAACAAAACAACCACTTCATAAACGCATGGCAGAACACAGGAGAACAAATCCATCAAGACAAGAGGCCATCTGTGTCAAAACTGAACAGCCCTCTCTCAACAGAGGGGAAGATATAACATCATCCATATTCTTTCTACAACACAGTCCTTTCAGCAGTTCTAAGAAGGCTCCACAACCATTTGCACTACTCAGGTGAACCTGAGGACACAGATAGTCTCCAAGTGGCCTCAACGACTCTCTAAAAGAATGCAAATGACCAGCTGTCTGAAAGGAATATAAATCCTTCCATTCCTCACCATCCAGTCAGAGCTGAAGAAGCTTCTTGGATGAGAAGCAAAAAGTCTTCAAAGAAAAACAAGAAAGAAAGTCCAGTTGCCTCTTGAAAAAGCAGCTTTGGAACATTATGCAGTTTTGGCTTCTGAAAATTCTGTTATGTTACTATCAGTAGCTTCCGCTTCCTCTGTTCTTAATTTTGTTATTTTCATGGTCTTCTAAAAACTGAGATTTTTTTTGTATTGAAACAAGCCTCTTTTTCACTAATGTCTATTTATTGTCTATTTCCATAGGTAGACTAGTAGTTTATTTCATATCACTGTTTTATGCATCATTCAGAAGCAATTACTTTTTTATGTAATTCTGCAGAGAAATTATAAAACAATGTTTTCAAATTTTGTTTTTCTTCCTGGGCCCTCAAATTGTAGTTTTATTCACCCTAGATTCTAGCAATTTCTATAAACACTAACTGATTTCTTTGTTTTTTAGTTCAAGCTTCCAAAGGAATATAGTTGGCCTGAAAAGAAACTAAAAGTCTCCATCTTACCCGATGCTGTATTTGACAACCTACTCCATTAAAGAAAGCTGACACCCACAAGCAGCAGCTTACTGTTTATTGCCCAAGGACTAATGGGAGGATTGAGTAAAGTTGGTCCTGACAACTGTTGCTGCATAACTACAGCAGAAGAAAGGTTACTCAACAACAGTTCAGCCAGAAATGAGCATGTCTGGTTCTCTCCTTTTTCATCATGGCTGAACGCTTGAGTATCTGCATATGAATGAGTACAAGAGTTAGACTGAAGAAGATGTATTCCATTATGAATAGCCGCTGTAATACATCTACTACTATTTTAACTGGCTCTAGAACTGCCTGCTGCCTTAGTTCAGGGTTTATATTCCTCATCCGCATTTATTGTACACATTTTTCATCTGTAAGCACATAATTATTAATTAGATGTTTTCCATAATGCCAAACTTCTTTTGTTAGCCAGGCTCTCCTTAGAATTATTCCTTTAATGCAAGTTGCAATTCCAAAAAGAAAGTGAGATTCTCCACATGTATTGACAGTAAATAGAGTAAAAATTACTCCATTATCTTGGCCCCAGGCATTTCTTGTGGTTTGGCTGCAGTGAAGTTAGGTGGGTGGGTTTGGTCTCTTAGCTTAGATTAGTTGAGTGCAACTGAATTTTAGAGTGCAAATTTTGAGCCCTATCATAAAATGAGCCTTTCATTTGCTTTTCTGTAAAGAATCATTACTAAGATAATATCCAAAAACAGGTTAATGATAATAATATCAGCAACAACTTTCAAACTGAGCCTGTGAATATTAACAGATTTAGAAAGAAACCTAACTGTATTCAGTTGGACTTATTTCTAAATAAATGTATGTTAAATTATAAGTTTTTATGTATTACTTTGAGAATGTTTGGGGACAATAAGCCCCCTCCAACCCAACCCTTTTCAGACACTTTAATTGATAAGATAACCCTGAGTTATTGGATTATAAAGCATATTAAATAATCACTCTTATTTCTTTTATTGATGACCAAGCAAGAAATATGAGTGATTAATTTTATATGCTTTCCTCATTGTACTCACTGAGCTATAAAATGAGTTAATGGCTTATCTTATTTGTATTAGCACTGTTAGCACTTCTGTTTTTATGAAAATTCCTGATGCTGCATTCTTTCTGAAAAATTTCCACCAACTCTCATTGTTTCAGGTCCTAGAGGTGCCCAAGAGCCTGTTATCTTATATCAGCTTTGCAACAAAGCTGTCTATAAAACATTTAAGTTTTGTTAAAACCATGTTCTCACTTTTTATTAATGTAATAGAAAGCCATGAATTTGATGACTATTGTTTGAATCAGGCCTCTCCAGAAATTATCATTCACATAGAAGTCTAAATTGTTTTTGAACTATGTGAAAATATGCGTTTTTTACAACAGGGATCCCCAACCCCCAAACCACTACCGGGCCATGACCTATTCAGAATTGGATCCGCGCGGGTGGCTGGCCGGAGCACACGCATGTGCGCACAACTCAACTTGCATGAGCGGTGGGCTGGCGGGCACTCATGCATATGCATGCTGGCCCGCTGTTCACGTGGCCCAGTTCTCACCCCCCCCCCAAGCCAGGCCACCAAGTTGCAAAGGTTAGGGACCAGTTTTACAATCTACAAATATTCAGTATTCATCTGCAACTCAAAGGCTAGGTTAGAATCACATTGGACAAAATAAGGGGATACTTTTTTATGCTATGTCCTTTTGCTAAAAGAGAGAAAAATATATACTAAACATGAGCTGGTCTTGATACATTCTGAAACACTGTTTATATTGTCAGTAGAATTTGTCAGAATCCCAGTAACCTTTGTTTTCATGTTAAGATTTTGGATACTGTGATGTACTAATCTGTTTTTATATTTAAAGATCATAAAGCAAGGCTTTGGAATCTATAACACAAGTGAGAATCTTTTGGAGTGCCTGGTTAGTTTTGAGTAGATGTTTAAGTAAAATTAACAATGTTTAATTAATAATAGAAGATTGCAAAGAGGTAACAGAGCTAACTTTAAGATTCTCTAAAGGAAATGCACACAGGTGGTGTTCACACATACCATGCAACTAAGTTCATTAACCATTATTTGTTGAGCAAGCCAGAGTCAATTTTCTGGGACAACAGAGTGACTTGTTTGATCAATTTCTTATTTTCCCTCCATTTCTTCTATCAATCAGTTGATATTTAATAATATTCTTAACAAAAGTTAAATAACAAGATTATTTGTTAGTTTGTAGGAAAATTTGCTCTATAATTAAGCAAGTTGTAGCCCCAGGGCCAAGTGTGGTGCCCAGATCTTATTTTGATAGCTCTCAGATCTTCATCCATCTGTGCTGCAAATGTTGGCAGTTCAAATGATAAACCATGCTAGCATGGTTTCTCACCATTTTCTAACAAAATATTCATTAAAACTAGTATATGATCTTTAACACACTACATTTTTTTTAAACAAACAAAAAAATCCTCTGCAAAACCCAGAAAATTCTACTACTGCTCATTTATCTGAGAGCCCCATCCACTCCTTTGCACCCCAGGAAATATGTATTATAACTTCCATCCTCAAAAAGGACAGTTCTGGGTTTTTGTGATTATTGTTGTTTTGGCTGTGTAAAGTTTATGGAATTGGTTTTGCTTCCTTTTTGTCATTGGCAGCTCTGTGAGATGTACACTATATTGGGTTTTTAAAATAATTTGTAGAGTTTAGAGAGCAGTCGTGTTTTGTGTAGGTTTTGTTTTGCCTGTGTCTGTTGTCTGAGTATGGTTAGTGTTATTTCTGTGAAATGGATATTTTGTTGAAATGTGTACACTTTGCTTTGGCATTGGGAAGCAATTCCCTATCCTTTCAGGGAGGAGTTAGGCATGGGGGGAAAAATTAGCCTGAATAGCAGAAATGCTGTGTAGGTTTTCCCACAATGGTACTTATTTAGTTTTTGAAGGAACTGAAGTGGGAAGCCTACTTCTTAATTTTTATGCTTCAAACTGTAATTGGATCTAACATCACTGAAATGCTTTTATATGGAAAGAAAAGTGATCCCTGCTGGTAGAAAACAGCTATGCTGGAGAAATGACTAAGCTAGAGAGAGCCTTTCCTACAAGATCTAATTTATTACATATAAATATTGTGTGTGTGTGCACATGTTTAATTTAAAAAGTCCAGCTGACCTGGAGAAACATTTGATCTATCTTGTTTTTTCACAGATGTCTTTAAGAATCTCATAGGTCAGAATATAGCAATAGCATCCTCTTCACTTCTCAGGACCTAATAATTAGAGACATAGTTAAGATGATAAATAATTGTCCATTCTGACATGAACTCTCGGGAATTGTTTCCAGCAACCAAATTAGTTTATGTATATAGTTTATTTGGAAATATATTCATTAATGTAATGAGGAAGTGTTAGTCACAACTGTCTCATTGATTTCTCTCTATAATTAACTCTCTGTTTGTTCTCTTTAAAGTTGAATAAGGAGTTTCTTGTCTAAGGAATGAAACAAGGGAGGCAGAGTCAGTATACAGTACTGTGAAATGTAAACGAATTAAAAAACCCTTGTGAATTTCTCATGAAGGATCTACAAGTTAAAGCTAAATAGAATTACCTTCTATGTCTCTCATAGGATTTTCTGCAAGATCCTAGTGTTTTCAGTGTTATGTCCTGCATGAGTATTTATTTTGGAGGGCAGGACTGACCCAAAGCATATTTTTTAAATGACTGTCTTGTTGGATTTCCAGAGAGAGTGCTTTCAGGTTCTTTATCTACTTGTATGCAGCCACAAGTTACTGGCTTGGCAAATCAAAGGTATGGTGCTTTTATATGTTTTTGTTTAATCAATAACAATTTATGACTGTTCTTGTCAGTTCCCTAAAGGACATAATGGAACAGGGCTTGGTCTCTCCTCCAACTCTTCATGAGCAAATACATGGGCTAGTTATGCTAGCTTTTTTTTTTTCTCAACATAAGGCAAGAAGAGTTTGCTTTGCACTCTTGTTCTTTGCTTGCTAGTTCCTGAAGTGTTTTATCGGAAATAGAAGCTTTGGCTGCTCTTCAGTTGGTTTGCACCTGCTACTTAATCCCTTCAGCACCTGGAGCAGTAAACACCCTTCCTGGCTTGCTGCAACAATTATTAACTTTTAGCGCAGCTGTTGCACTAGTCATATGCCAGGATAATGCTAACAGAGCCACCAGACCATTCCAGAGTGTTTAACTATCTAACTATGAAAAAAACTAAGTTATCATACAAGCTATGAGTAGAATAGAGATTTGAAGCTATTGCACATGTTGCAGGTTCTGGCCTATCGCCTGTTTTGCTCAGAAGCTGAATCCCACAAAACCACTACAGATTTTTGTAATGCAAAAAGGTGTAAAAGGTTCAAAATGTAAACAATTGGATTGTATTTAGAAATAAATCCTATTTAAATATACAGTCCTATCACAAATAATGTTTTAAGCACATTTAAAATTGAGGATAAGCTACTTGAAATATGGTAGGAGAGCAAAAAGGAAGAAAGTAATTGTTCACTGCAGAAACAGGTATAAAAAAAGAGAAGCTGGGCTCACCCTGAAGGAGACAAAAGAAATAAACATTTGCATGGTTGTTACATTAAATTGTACATCTGTAGACATCTCTAGTGTTCACAGTATCTCTGTCTATTTTATATAAATGTATACATCTTGAACTTCATGTTTCCCTTTTGTCAGATGGTGGTTGGGCAAAAGTAGGATACAAATCTTTGAAGCCTCTGCAGGATATTTTGCATTTCAGTCTGATGATCAGTGCAGAATTAGAAATGAAAGCAATTTCTGGGCAGATTAAAAAAAGGATTTCACTGTCATTCCACTGCATTCTCTTCTCCCAGCAGTAAAGACATAATTACAACATGCTTTATATGAACCCCTTTTGCACACGATCCCTACACATAAGGGAAGTAAGGGATCAGGGAGCAATTCTATTTATACAAGCATTTTAATGGTTTGAGACAAAAATATTTAACATTGTTTCCCACGAGTATCATCGTTGCAGTTTTTAGGAAAAGAAATAGTGCCTTCCTTCTTTGGTAGCTCTGTGGTGTTTCATTCCCCACTTAACCTGTATGTCCTTTTCTGCTAGACATCTTGAAAGTCAAAATTCGTACTATATCTGATATAAATTTATAAGGACCCCAGGCTGACCCATTTCTTAATTCACTTTTGAATATCAAATGTATTATGTTTCATATATATTTCTTATTCCCTTCTTAAATTGCTTACATACAATCATAGGAGCTTTTAAGCTTTCTATTGTTTTTCCCAGACTGTAATAAAATGTTTTTTTTTTATTTTTAGCCAGTTGTTTTCCTATATTGCAAATATTTTGAAAAAAACCTTCCTCATTTAGAGAGTTATAATATAGTGAGCTCCAGAAGAGGTGAGGGAATCATATATTTAACCTCCTTCATTAATTATATTTTCATTTCAGAAATTGTTTTAAAGCTTTGCTGCCAGCTAACTCTTGTGGCATCTTCCTCAGCCCTTATTTCCCTTTTCAGAGCAAAATTACAGATTTCTTCTTCCATTGGACTCTTATGACATAAATCTTCAATGAACAAAAGGTGATTCTATGATCCATGTTCAGAGTATATAATATAATATGGGCACCGTGGTTAATACAAATGGCTGTTGTGAGCCCCAGTTGATAGGAAGATGCAGGAGCATGCAAGTTCCTTGCTGGATCTTTTAATTCCAGGTTAAGCTGAACTAACTTTCTCACCAGTTTTACTTTCAAGACTAAAAAAAAAAATCACTTAGAGAAAGAAAAACCTATTTAAATAATTTAAAAATGATGAAACAATTCAAAAGATTAACAGTGCTTTATGTTTATGAATAATGCTACCCATGACGTAGCTTTTCTGGACGTGTAGTTTAACAGTAGTAACGACTCGTGCGTGTTCGCATGTGCACTTGCGCGCATGCATGCAAATACATGCACAATTTAATCTAGCTTAAGGATATAAAATTGGTATTTGCTAGTAGCAGTTCTGAATTCTACTGCAGCTGAAAACAGCACATGACCATGTTAAAAGCTTAAGGTAGTATCATGCTTCAAATGAAAAGTATCTTTCCTTTTTGAATAGTTTTATCTCAATAGAAACTAGAGTTCTCTATTAAGCAGAGGGCTTGCTAACTTTTTTTTCTTTTTAAAGAGAGAAATGCTCTTGGGTGTTAGTTTTATATTTCAGATGGCTGTACTGTAGTTCTAGGAAACTTCAAACAAATTGAAATATACTTTTGGAATTAATCCTTTGACTTGTTCAGATGCTAATTCTGACTGCTGAAGCTGTTTTGAAAAGCTTCAGCTGAGATGAACCTTTTTGTAGTTCATCTATGAGTGTGTGTGCGTGTGTGGGGCGAAGCACGTATGTGTGTGTGAGTGCATATCTCTACACATATTAGAGTTACTGAAGAAACTGACTGAAAACAGTTTACTTCTGCTGCAGTAATATTTCAATATTTTAGTATATCTTTTTCTACCCAAAAAAGTAATGAAAACTTAAACTAGCAGTTTTAAAAATATTTTATATTAGTTTGTAATGTATATTCTTACATTATCACAGTGCTGGTATGAACTACTTTTTTGTAATATTTTTGTGAATCACAAAGCTTTTGTTTCCCTTCTGTGTATTCAAGGTACATTAAACCTGTTTGCATATTGTGTTCGGTGTGCATTTATTGATTGCAGAGCTGATAAATTAGATTTTATTTTTCACTCATACTTAATTTTATTTTTCCAACTGTTATTTGCAGGTTGTAATCAGATAATAGGCAATATATAATATGAAGGCTGACCACCAGCATCTCCTTATTCACAATCTCTGTTGCAATTCATCTGTTGTTGTTCTCCACAGTAGTCTACTTCAGGAGAAACATTTGAGTAAATGCAGATATATGCTAATATTTATATGATGTGGAAATCAATCACACAGGTGAAGGAACTTTACTATATTGTATAGTAGCTATCTTTAGCCTAGTAACCTCTAGATGTGTTAGGACTAAAATAGGGGTAGGCAACCTTGGCTCTTTTATGACCCGTGGACTTCAACTCCCAGAATTCCTGAGCCATCAGGAATTCTGGGAGTTGAAGTTCACGAGTCATAAAAGAGCCAAGGTTGCCTACCCCTGGACTAAAACTTGTATGCTTTCCACAAATTCTGGAAGTAACAAAGTTCTCTTTTAATTTTATTTTAATATCATCTTTCCTTGGCTGTGGAAAAAGGATAGAGTTAAAATGATCACATGATCCTATGTATCATATTGAAATACCTGGATAGCACTTTACTATGTTGTCAAAAAGGAGGGGGACTTTTTTTTAGAAAACTGTAACTGAAATCGGGGGGGGGGGACTTTTCATAGAGACTAGAAATGCTCACTGAATTTTGGTCACATCCTATCTTTGTGTTCTAGAGAAAGCATAACTCCCACTTAATTACTGTTTTGAACAAATACAATTTGAGAGTTGGATTGCTTCAGTGCCATTAATTTGGTTTGACTGCTAGGTAGATCTCCAGGATTCTCTGCTGTCAGCCTGGGTCTTCAAGTCTTGCATCAGTGAAAACTAGTGAGAGAAAAATTCCTGACAGTTAGAACAATTAATTAGTGGAACAACCTGCCTCCAGAAGCTGTGAATGCTCCAATACTGGAAGTTTTTAAGAAGAGACTGGACAGCCATTTGTCTGAAATGGTATAGGGTTTCCTGCCTGAGCAGGGGGTTGGACTAGATGACCTCCAGGGTCCCTTCCAACTATTATTATTGTTTCATTTTGTTGTTGTTGTTGTTGTTATTATTATTATTATTATTATTATTATTATTATTATTATTATTATACAGCATCGGGGATGTTGGGGGAAAATGGATTTTGTTTCATAGTTTCACTACTCCATCAGATCATGCATATAATCTAAGATCCATATGGTATTGAGCCACACTTTGGAGCACTGACTCAGCTTCACTGATCTCTTGATTTATTGCACTTCATAACATAGACCCTGTGGCTTGTTGCAAAAAGTAATTTTATTGTCTTGTTCTTCTCAATTGAGAAATTACTGAGTCTCCTATAAGGCTACATCTCATTTGGAATTCTTGCTGTAATGGAGTAATATACCTTGTCCACCCAATGAGGTGTATCTAATCTAGACCACTGGATGCCTATACAGTCAATATATCCAATTTCTACAAATTAATGTTTTTCCACAAAACTTTAAAGAGGATTAAAAAATGTGTGGCAAATTTTGATTCTGTAGTTCAGGGATAGTCAACCTTGGCTCTTTTATGACTCGTGGACTTCAACTTCCAAAATTCTGGGAGTTGAAGTCCACGAGTCATAAAAGAGCCAAGGTTGCCTACCCCTGGACTAAAACTTGTATGCTTTCCACAAATTCTGGAAGTAACAAAGTTCTCTTTTAATTTTATTTTAATATCATCTTTCCTTGGCTGTGGAAAAAGGATAGAGTTAAAATGATCACATGATCCTATGTATCATATTGAAATACCTGGATAGCACTTTACTATGTTGTCAAAAAGGAGGGGGACTTTTTTTTAGAAAACTGTAACTGAAATCGGGGGGGGGGGGGGCTTTTCATAGAGACTAGAAATGCTCACTGAATTTTGGTCACATCCTATCTTTGTGTTCTAGAGAAAGCATAACTCCCACTTAATTACTGTTTTGAACAAATACAATTTGAGAGTTGGATTGCTTCAGTGCCATTAATTTGGTTTGACTGCTAGGTAGATCTCCAGGATTCTCTGCTGTCAGCCTGGGTCTTCAAGTCTTGCATCAGTGAAAACTAGTGAGAGAAAAATTCCTGACAGTTAGAACAATTAATTAGTGGAACAACCTGCCTCCAGAAGCTGTGAATGCTCCAATACTGGAAGTTTTTAAGAAGAGACTGGACAGCCATTTGTCTGAAATGGTATAGGGTTTCCTGCCTGAGCAGGGGGTTGGACTAGATGACCTCCAGGGTCCCTTCCAACTATTATTATTGTTTCATTTTGTTGTTGTTGTTGTTATTATTATTATTATTATTATTATTATTATTATTATTATTATTACAGCATCGGGGATGTTGGGGGAAAATGGATTTTGTTTCATAGTTTCACTACTCCATCAGATCATGCATATAATCTAAGATCCATATGGTATTGAGCCACACTTTGGAGCACTGACTCAGCTTCACTGATCTCTTGATTTATTGCACTTCATAACATAGACCCTGTGGCTTGTTGCAAAAAGTAATTTTATTGTCTTGTTCTTCTCAATTGAGAAATTACTGAGTCTCCTATAAGGCTACATCTCATTTGGAATTCTTGCTGTAATGGAGTAATATACCTTGTCCACCCAATGAGGTGTATCTAATCTAGACCACTGGAGTGCCTATACAGTCAATATATCCAATTTCTACAAATTAATGTTTTTCCACAAAACTTTAAAGAGGATTAAAAAATGTGTGGCAAATTTTGATTCTGTAGTTCAGGGATAGTCAACCTTGGCTCTTTTATGACTCGTGGACTTCAACTCCCAGAATTTTGGAAGTTGAAGTCCACGAGTCATAAAAGAGCCAAGGTTGACTACCCCTGCTGTAGTTCATAGTGCTGTGCATTTCACAGATAAAATGAGTTTGTGTAGAGATCTGGGGAATCTGCAATAACTGGGAGCTTTTGTTGCCTTACTAACATATCAACAGATGACAGGAACAGTATGAAATATTCTATGTGAGTCATCTTATTCCTATTTGTGTTTGTGTGCACATACATGCATGTGAGAGTATGTTCCTGTAACTGATTAAGAAAGTTCTGAGAAACTGAAAATACTCTCAATACTTTAAATCAGTGATTTTCAACCTTTTTTTAATTTTTTTTTTTTTTTTTGCTGATGGATGCCTAAACTCAAGCATTATCTATGGCAGGGGTGTCAAACTGCCAGCCTGCGCGTGGGCCACTTGCATCATATGGAGGCCGCACTCACCCCAGCTCCGGCAATGCAAAAAAAATAGTGTCATATGACGTGGCGAGTTTGACACCCATGATCTATGGTATATTTGTTCTATTTTCCACTAGTAGAGTTGCCTCAAGAATACACTATAGCAGTGGTTCTCAACCTTTCTAATGCCGTGACCCCATAATACAGTTCCCCATGTTGTGGTGACCCCCAAGTGGGTGTGGGCAACAATAAGAGGGAGTAGGACAGCTAGGGAAAAGGGAAAAAAATGGCGGACAGCGTGGTTTGGCGACCCCCGTGAAATGGTCATTTGACCCCAAATGGGGTCCCGACCCACAGGTTGAGAACCACTGCACTATAGTGATGAGTTGGATTACTAAATAATAGGGCATGTATAAGGATTAAAATTAAGCTTAGGTAAAGTGTTTATTTTCAGATGACATCTTGTTTGCAAGTAAAACTTCAATGAAAGATATGGCAAATAAATTGTTTTCAGCCTTCAACTGCTTGAGTATTTATTAATGGTATATTTCCAATGTTAAATTATAGTGAAACAAGCTTTCCAGTATTTAACTTTTCTTTTGTTACTTAGTGTGATATTTTGGCTTGATGAGATTTTCACAGCTATTTGACAGGTACTCTAATTTCTCTCTCAGCAATGTTTATATCCCGTTTTTCCAGTTTTTGATTGTGAGTGCAGAAAATCCCAATTCACATTGGTAAAATGTTAAAAATGATGTGAGTCTTACCAGACCCCTTTTTCTGCAAGAGAAGTGTGTGTTCATTCTTTGCCTACATCCAAAATTTAAGAAACACTTTCTATGAGCTTTAATTTCACATTGTAGCTCTTTTGCCATATACTAATTCCTCCCATTCTATGGTACTAAGCTGAAATTGGTTTGGTGTTTCAATAAAGTGGTTTCTCAGCTAGTCACAGTTTTCAACGGTAGACTGAAAAATATAATTTTATTTTCCAGCTGCTCAGCAATTACTGGTATGACCTCATTCTTGTTTGCTGCAGTTATATTGGGAAATATGCCCATATTCCTCTCCTTCATTTTTCCAGTTCAAATTCTTTACCTTTATTAATTTGATATATAGACATTTGTATCTTTGTCTTATTTAAATGTTCAACAATAGCTACCAAGTAAATGGTAATATACATCACGTTCTTCAATGACATTATAGTTTCTCATAAGCTTCTAACCCATGGGTGTCAAAACTCAATGCCTTTGCAGAGCCAGGATGGGCGTGGCCTGTGTGTGACGCATCTGGCCCGTGGCCCACCAGTTTGACATCCCGTTATAGCCAATATAGAGATGCAGGAAAAATTATGCAATTTATTCCAATTTCTTCACAAAATTTGGGAAATAGATGCAACTATCATGTTTCCCTGAAAATAAAACCTGGTCTTATATTTTTTTTGCCTCCAAAAGAGGCACCAGGTCTTATTTTTGAGAGGTGTCTTACCTTAGGACCGCTGCAGCCAGGCCTCCCATACTCCAACACCTGTTAACGCTGCTGAGTTGTTCTGCAGCTGCTTGTGCCTGCATGCCACATGCAGTTGTGCTGCTGTTGCTCACAACTGGACATTGCGAGGCTCATTGCGCCAACCATGCCGCAGCTACCGTTCACAGCAGAAGACTGCCACTGCTACCGCTCATGCCAATTGTGCCACTGCTGCTGCTTATGGCAGCAGTGCAATTGGTGTGATAAACCT